TTTTTTGGTTGCAGCCGTCATTGTTGTTTGGCAGGTCCGGGCTGGGGATTCGAACCTGCCACCTTAGGTGTACGTGGCTGGAGCCTTAGCCGGTTGAGCTATAGGCGCTGAGCCCCCACACTTTTCTATCTTCTTTTTTATTATATGTGATCCCTTTTACTTGGGATATACCTTCTTTTTTGTTATATGTGATTCTTTTTCCTTGGGATGATCTACCTTCTGCTTAAAGAACACTAGGGTGCATCTCCTGGTGATAAATTATTTCAATTTTCATTTGTCTGCAAATAGATTATTTTATACTCATTCTGGAAGGACTTTTATTTGTATCACCCCATAGAGATGGGGTCTTGCTATGTTGCCTGGGCTGGGCTTGAACTCTGCCTCAAGGAATCTTTCTGCATTGGCCTCCCAAACTACTGGGCATCAGCCACCACACCTGGCTGACTTTTAAAAAATTACATACACCTGTAGTCCCAGCTACTTGGAGGACTGAAGCAAGACAATCGCTTAAGCCCAAGAGTTTGAGGTTGCTGTAAGCTGTGATACCATAACACTCTACCTAGGGTGACAAAGTGAGACTCTGCCTCAAAAAAAAAATTAGGTACAGAATTCCAGGTTGATGGTTGTCATGCCTTTGTACTTTGAATATATCATTCTGTCTTGAAGAGAATCTTTTTGGTACAAGCTACTTGAGTGATTACACCCTTTCCTTGGCTTTTTGGTGCTTGCGCTAAGAGGGGCCTACATGTTGTATGCTCATTTAGCCTGTTCAGTCTGAGGCCTCTTGGATCTGTGGCTTTTTTTTTTTTTTTCTTTGAGACAGAGCCTCAAGCTGTCCCCCTGGGTAGAGTGCTGTGGCATCACAGCTCATAGCAACCTCCAACTCCTGGGCTCATGCGAGTCTTCTGCCTCCCAAGTAGCTGGGACCACAGGCGCCGCCACAATGCCCAGCTATTTTTTGGTTGCAGCCATCATTGTTTGGCGAGCCCGGGCTGGATTCAAACCTGCCACCTTATGTGTATGTGGCTGGCTCCTTAGCCACTTGAGCCACAGGCGCCGAGCCAGGATCTGTGGCTCGATGTCTTTTACTAGCTTCCTTCCATTGTGGCTCCTATCCCATCTCACCCCTGGGGTGCAGATATCTGTCAGACCTGCTTACTCTAGGTCCTCTTTCTGTCCTTTCCATGCTTCATAGTGGATGTTCCCTCTGAGATATAGTGGAGCCTCTGTGAGTTGACCTCTCAAGGATCATAACAGGCTGGTCAGCACAGGGAGATGGTCAACATAGGAGAAACTGCACTGCACTGATAGTGCATGTGGTGCATGTCAGTCTGTGAAAATCAGGTCAACTTAAGGAGGTCGACAGTGTAAGGGAGGTGGTCAGCTATGGAGGTTCTACTATATTTTAGTTTAATAATTCTTTTTTGTTACATGCGATCTTTCATTAAATTTATCCTTGAGTTCTTTTTTTGAGACAGAGCCTCAAGCTGTCTGCCTGGGTAGAGTGCTGTGGCTCACAGCTCACAGAAACCGCCAACTCCTGGGCTCATGTGAGTCTCCTGCCTCAGCCTCCCAAGTAGCTGGGACCACAGGCGCCTGGCACGATGCCCGGCTATTTTTTGGTTGCAGCCATCATTGTCGTTTGGTGGGCCTGGACTGGATTCAAACCCGCCACCTTAGATGTATGTGGCTGGTGCCTTAGCCACTTGAGCCACAGGTGCTGAGCCAATCCCTTGAGATCTTAATTTGAGTTCTTATAGTTCCTGGTTTTAGAATTTCTGCTTTTTAAAAAATAGTTTCGGCTCAGCGCCTATAGCTCAACCGGCTAAGGCTCCAGCCACGTACACCTAAGGTGGTGGGTTCGAATCCCCAGCCCGGACCCGCCAAACAACAATGACGGCTGCAACCAAAAAATAGCCAGGCGTTGTGGCGGGCGCCTGTGGTCCCAGCTACTTGGGAGGCGGAGGCAGGAGACTCGCTTGAGCCCAGGAGTTGGAGGTTGCTGTGAGCTGTAATGCCACGGCCCTCTACCCAGGGGGACAGCTTGAGGCTCTGTCTCAATAAAAAAAAAAAAAAAAAAAAAAAATAGTTTCTAATTTCTCACCACAATTCTTAATTTTTGTTTTGTTTTGTTTTTTAAGACAGGGTCTTTGTTCTGTTACTTGGGCTGGTGTGCCATAGCATTATCATAGCTCCCAGCAGTCTCCAACTCCTGGGCTCAAATGATCTTCCTTGCCTTAGCCTCCCACGTAGCTGGGACTGCAGGCGTCCACCATGACACCCAGATAGGTCTTAAGCTATCCTCCTGCCTTGACCTGCCAAAGTGCTAGGATTACAGGTGTGAGCCACCGCACCCGGCTTAATCCTGTTTTTATTTATTTATCTATTTTAGACAGTCTCAAGCTGTTGCCCTGGGTAGAGTGCCGTGGTGTCATAGCTCATAAGCAACTTTAAACTCTTGGGCTGAAAAGATCCTCTTGCCTCAGTTTTTCTATTTTTAGCAGAGGTGGGGTCTTGCTTTTGCTCAGGCTGGTCTCGGACTGGTGAGCTCAGGCAATCCACCCACCTCGGCTTCCCAGAGTGCCAGAATTATAAGCGTGAGCCATCATGCCTGGCCCTTAATCAGCTGTTTTTTATCTTGATGAATAGATGATTACAGTCTCTTAAAGTCTACATTTGGAAACTCCATACTGAGGAGCTGTTAATTCTTTAGTCTGTTGTTTCTCTTATTTTTCACCTATTGTCTCATCTCATGTCTGGTTTCTTTTGATTGAAAACTGGATGTTTGGCAGCACCTTACCTCAGTAGGGCACTGGCCACATACATCGAGGCTGGCCGGTTTGAGCCTTGGCCAGGCCTGCTAAACAACAATGACAGCTGCAACCAAAAAATAACCAGTAAGCCAAAGAGTTTGAAGTTGCTATGAGCTGTGATGCTATGGCACTTTACTAAGGACAACATAGTGAAACTTTTGTCTCAAAAAAAAAGAAAGAAAACTGGATGTTCTATGTGAATAACAGGAAACAAAAGACTTAGACTGATGCCCTCTTCTCCATAGGTGGATGATGAGCTGGAAATCAAGGCCTACTACGCGGGTCATGTGCTAGGGGCAGCCATGTTCCAGATCAAAGTGGGCTCAGAGTCTGTGGTTTACACGGTCAGTGGAAGGACTTGGGCAGGGCTACCTTGCGGTGGGGAGGTACTCTCCTCATCGTCACCATCTTCCCTAGGGTGATTATAACATGACCCCAGACCGACACTTGGGGTAAGTAGGCTGATGTGTTTGCTTCATCCTGTGGGGTTCCCCTGGAGCATGGTGACCTTAAGGGTGTGATGGTTTAGGGTCCTCTGTGGTGTGCAGGACCCCTTCCCCCTGAGCTCAGACACATGAAGTCATAGGGACCACAGGTTGGAACTATTCTTCCTCTCTTGAGTGTGCTGCCCATGACTTCAGCAGGCTGCCTACAGCTGCCTGCCATGGCCCATACCCTCCTCCTCTATCCCAGAGCTGCGTGGATCGATAAGTGCCGCCCCAACCTGCTCATCACGGAGTCCACGTATGCCACGACCATCCGAGACTCTAAGCGCTGCCGGGAGCGAGACTTTCTAAAGAAAGTCCATGAGACTGTGGAGCGTGGTGGGAAGGTAGCTGGCCATAGGCAGGGCTCTGGGATGTATGCCCACCCTGTACAAGTCCTTTTGGAAGCCTTGGCTTTCCTTAGCATGTTTTCAGGGTCTCGGGGTATGGAGTGCTATGTTCTCTGGGCATGGAGGGAGGAAAATTTGCTCAACATTGAGAAGAAAAACCCTGAAGACCCTTCACTAGGGATTTCATTGTCCCTCATGTCCCAGATGTGGTCCTTCCTGCTCCAGACTGCCTGGGAGAGGGCTGAGTGAGGTCCACATGGGGATCTCAGGGCGGCTGGCCATGTACTCTCAGAGAATGCTGCCTATTGGCTCAGGTAGGGGTGCAGCAGGATCCCCACCTGAGCCAGCCTCACCTGCCCTATAGGTGCTGATCCCTGTCTTTGCACTGGGCCGAGCACAGGAGCTCTGCATCCTGCTGGAGACCTTCTGGTAGGTGCAGCCAGGGGCCTCTTCCCAAAGCCCTGCCTGAGGGGCAGTGGAAGGTAGGATGCCTGTGCGGATGGTTGGCAGCACACACAGCCCAGGCAGGGCACAGACTCAGATTGGTCAAGGTGGTGAGCATCCCTGGCCATTGGCATCTCACTTCTGTTCACTGTTTTTGAGGGGGAGCCACCCTCATGCTCTGTGGTGTCCTATGCTGTTTGCGTACTCTTATTAGGGTCATTGGTTCCATAGGGAGCCTTGTCAGCCCTAGTACCTTCTAGGAGGATGTAGGCTGAGGCACTGGCTTCCTGGGGTCCCAGGGGTAGAGAAAGCAGGGGTTCAAGCCAGCTCACACTGTACAGCTGTGCAGATGAGGGCCTGTGGCAGTATGCCATCCTCCATGGCCACTACACTAATGGGGCTGGTGGGTCCCCAGGGAGCGCATGAACCTAAAGGTCCCCATCTACTTCTCCACGGGGCTGACGGAGAAGGCCAACCACTACTATAAGCTCTTCATCACTTGGACCAACCAAAAGATCCGCAAGACCTTTGTCCAGAGAAACATGTTTGAGTTTAAGCACATCAAAGCCTTCGACCGGGCATTTGCAGACAACCCAGGTCCAATGGTGAGGCCTTGCAGTGGGGGGCGGCCAGTGTGTCTACATGCACGCTCACTGGCCATGTCTGGGGGATGCTTGAGGGCACCTGATAGTCCCTGCCTGTCTGAGGGGGTCTGAGGCCGGGCCCGTGGCAGTGTATCTCTTGTGCTGACTCACCTATGTCTGCCTTGCAGGTCGTGTTTGCCACACCAGGGATGCTGCACGCAGGCCAGTCCCTGCAGATCTTCCGGAAGTGGGCAGGGAATGAGAAGAACATGGTGAGGGTCTCGGCTCTACAGAGACCCTATGAGGTTGGGCAGAGGTGGGGTAGCCTGGGCCAGAGAGATGTCCTTTGATCTGCCTTGTCCTTGTGCTGCCTGAGGCATGTGGCTACGATCTTAGTAGAGGATGCTGTGTCTTCTGAACATGGAAGAAAATATTTAGCACTGAGAAAATCACTGGAAGAACCTTCACTGGGGATTACATTTGTCCCTCATGTCCCAGATCTTGATGAACGCTTGACACTGCTGGGTGTGGGGTCAGTGTCTAATGTCCAAGCAGCCACTTTGATGGTCAGTTCCTAGCCTGGCCCTGCACTCTTTGGCTGAAATCCCCAAGGGGCTGGCAAGGTGGGAGCAGCCCCCAAAGGGTTTAGGTGGAGGATGTTCAGGGGGAACTTCTGATGTGCCAAGGCTGGGGCAGCTGCAGGTTCCACCCTGTTTTGCAGGTCATCATGCCTGGCTACTGTGTGCAAGGCACAGTGGGCCACAAGATTCTCAGTGGGCAGCGAAAACTGGAGATGGAAGGGCGGCAGGTGGTAAGTCTGAGCTGCCCATGGGGCTGGCAGGGTAGTAGGCACCTCTGGTAGTGACTGGTACCTGTGCCCGTTGCCTGCAGCTGGAGGTGAAGATGCAGGTGGAATACATGTCGTTTAGCGCCCACGCAGATGCCAAGGGCATCATGCAGCTGGTAGGCCAGGCTGAGCCACAGAGCGTGCTGCTTGTGCACGGTGAAGCCAAGAAGATGGAGTTCCTGAAGCAGAAGATCGAGCAGGAATTCCGTAGGCAGAGGGTGGGGTGGGCCAGGGTTGCCCACAGGAGTGGCACCAGGTGGGGTCCACCTTCAGAGTCAGTGGAGATAAGACTGGCCTTCCTGGACTGAGGCACTCTCTTCTTCCCTGGGCCCAGGAGTCAGCTGCTACATGCCAGCCAATGGTGAGACGGTGGCACTGCCCACGAGCCCCAGCATCCCTGGGGGAATCTCACTGGGGCTGCTGAAGCGGGAGATGGCACAGGGTATGTGTGTGGCAGGGCATGGTGGGTGGGCAGACAGGCAGGCGGCCATTGGGAAGCCTGGAGCCCACTGGAGGCCCTGCCTTCCCTGCAGGGCTACTTCCTGAGGCTAAGAAGCCCCGGCTCCTACATGGCACCCTGATCATGAAGGACAGTGTGAGTGCACAAGTGGGCCCCGGGGGGTGGGGAGAAACCCATTCCTGCCCTTCCTGACC